AACATTCTCTTTTTTCAAGAATGAATCACGTTGTTAGGCTAAAGCAAACATCAAATTAGTATTACAAGACTAATGCATCCATTTATAGATGTTGTTTGCAGGAAGCACTTGATTTGATGCAAAGTTGTCAAAACCCATCGAAAATGCTCTAAGAAAGCACTTAAATTTCGGTTATAAACAGCAACCCCTTAAATAAAAAACCTAACAGAAAAAATGTGTATGGAATTGCACAAACAAAAGCGAAACCCATTTTATAGTACTGTTACTTGCACTTGTTAATGGCATCCATGCTACACCTAGCACCAAAAATGGTTGCTGTGTGCAAAAGAAATGGAAGAAAAAAAAAAGCATAACAGCTACTGGATTATCCACTTTAGTAATTGGATTCTCTAAAGATTAAAAGAACAGGAAAATAATTCATTATTGTTTTCTAATTTCACAATTCACTTGAAGTGATTTGCTTGCATTGTTGTTTCCATTGAAATATTAAACTCGAAAGAAACAGAAGCAGCACATACCCAATACACAGACAAAACAAGAGCTTACCTTTGATGTGAACTCCGCAGCCATTTCAACTCAAAACCCTAACGATGGGTTGAAAAGCCACGAGTTTATTGAAATTATTCGCAGAAAACAGAACCGACCATCTATGTAGTTTAGTGATATGCGATTGGAATTTTTGGGATGAAGAAACAGTGGAAGTGAGAACTAGAAATTACCTGCTTCATTGGCGACGCGTATCTCCAGCCCTACATCTCTTGACCATTCCGGAAATTTTGTGAAAATATAGGAAAAGGCTCATTTGGGTAGAGGAACAGAGGAAGTGGATGAGGGGTGCCTGGATGTTTGTAATCCTACCCCACATCACTTGACCATTTGATTAATTAAAGATAATATTTTAAAATTAACATAAAAACTATAAATTAGGGTTTACACGCACTGACTTTCTAAGTTTCTGTCTTTCTCCAGATTACAGACTTAGTTAAATAACAGAATACAAATCCATATTGCATATCAGTTTCAAGCAAATTATTACAAAATAGAAGATAGAAAACCAAGTGCTCAGCTTGGACTTATTGATGCGGAAAGAGGAGAAGACATCCTGGAAGTTCACTTGGCAACATGAAACATCTTGAACCTGAAAAACAACAAATAAGAGGTTATTTGCACTGTTAATTTTTTTCTTTTCATAATCAAGTTATGAAGATGCCACACAAGATTAGAATAAATGTGTATCGACCTTTACCGGCTTCTAGGAAGACACTGATGGCTCGAACAACTTCAATTTTCTTCCCAATCTGGAGACATGTTCTCTCACCAGCAAACCAAGTGCTGCTACAAGTAAACAAAGGCAGCCCTTCAAGTTGCTGAAGCGAACCCTCACGTTGTTAAACAACAGGAAACAGAGATGTTTCCATGGATGATCTAACTTCACCGCCAGAACTCCCACAAAGCCGATGGCCGCTCCAAGTTCCATACCCGGTTTAAACGATTTCCAGAATTCATCCATGTCTCTGTTTTTGGGTTTGCTCTCTGATTTTTCATCTTCGGGACAAGTTGGTGTTAGAGGAAGCCCACAGAGTGCAGGATTACCGACAAATGAAGAAGCATCAAATGTCTGTATTTGGGGTCCCGATGGGATTCTCCCAGAAAAGTTGTTATATGACAGGTTCAAGGTGCCGAGGAAATATAATTGGGACATGCTCCAAGGAAGCTGACCTGAAAGCTGGTTCCATGACAAGTCAAGTGATTCTAACTTTCTCATCTGCCCAATGTTTGGAGGAATCCATCCCGTTAACTGATTTCTTGATAAGTTCAATTCAACCAGTTCCAAGAGAATCGATATCTGCACAGGAATCTTTCCTGTTAATTTGTTGCTTGAAAGATCAATAATTTTCAAAGTCTTGAGATTTCCATTCTCATAATCACGCTCCATTCCTTTCCACATTACAAATGCTTTGTCAGCATAGCTTCCTCCGTACCCAGAATTAGCACCAGTACGTGATTCTATAAAATCATGATCATGGGCAGAAATCCCCTGTTCAGCTAATGTAGTTAGATTCTGAATGCACCATGGTATGTTTCCAGATAGATTGTTGTTGGAGAGGTCTAGTAGCATAATATTTGTCAACCAGCATAGCTTCAAGGGGATGTCTCCACTGAAATTATTGGATCTCAGAAGAAGGAAAATTAGTGAACTTAGTCTTTCTCCAATCCAAGTTGGTATTTTTCCAGAGAAGCTATTGTAATTCAATCCCAAAAATTGCAAGTCACTGCAATTTCCTAGGGACCAAGGTATTTCTCCAGAGAAATTGTTATTTTGCAAACCCAACGATTCAAGACGATGCAAAGATCCAATAGAGCTAGGAATTTTCCCAAATAAATGATTATCAGCCAAATTTAGAATCACTAGACTTGTCCATTGCATCATGCAATCTGGAAGCTTTCCAAATAGTTCATTGTGCGAAACATCAAGGAACTCAAGTTTCCCATCAGTTGTGGTGCAGAGAGAAGAAATTGACCCAAAGAACCTATTTTCTGATAGGTTTATGGATGTGACATTAACGGGGAATACTGGTAATAGACCCTCCAACTTATTTTTACTCAAATCTATCCCAAGGCCAAAAGAATCAGCAAATTTTGTAGTTGACAAATTTGGCAAGACTCCATAGAGACGATTGGAAGAAAGATTCACATGAAGTGCTCTAGGAGATAGGTTCCAAAACCACGGTGGGATGCTATCTGAAATCCCACCTCCAGAGATATCAAGATAAGAAAAATTTCTTTGGGACTTTAACCAGCTTGGAAACTTCGGGCCCAACTCGCACGATTGAAGTTCTATATCATGCAATTGGAATGGAGGAATCCAGTCATTGCTAAAGTTGACGCTCAAAGAATTAGAAGACATGACCAACAGCCGTAACTTGGATAGTGTAGAAAAGTGTGATTCACTGATAGTCCCATTCAAAGAATTCGAAGAAAGATCTATGTCCTCAAGGTTTGATAGGAGTCCAATACTTTTGCTCACAGTACCACTTAGTTGATTGTTGGAAAGAAACAACCATCGCAGTGAGGAGAAATTTTTTATCATATCAGACACGGGTCCCTTAATTTTATTATCATCCAAAATCAATTCTTCCAAGGAGAGTTGTAGACATCCAGATAAGTTACCAATAAGTTCAGGAAGCATTCCGTCAAGATTGTTAAGCCACAGATCTAGGGAAACTAAGTTGCACAGGTTCCCAAAGGATTTTGGTATCCCTCCTTCAAATTGGTCACCGGCCAGCTCTAGGTTTTCCAGAAAAGTCATGTGACCAATATATTCTGGAATCAAACCTTCAAACTGATTATAGCCAAGATTAAGATACCGCAGACCTCTAAGGTTCCCAAGCTGACTAGGAAGAGATCCACTTAAATTACAATTAGAGAGATCAAGATGTTTTATTTTGTTGAGTGAACCGATAGAATTTGGAATGCGGCTTAAGTTGAAATTAATCCCATTGAGGTCTAAATAAATTAAATGTTGCAACTCAAATAGGGAAGGACTAAAGTTACCTCTTAATGGAGCAAACCAGTTTGTTAGATTAAGCACAGTTACATGCCCAGTTTTGTTGCTACATCGAACTCCTTCCCATTCACAACAATCCTTTTTCTTTTCTTCATTGTCCCATGAGGAAAGCCAGCCATATTCGTCAACCAAACCATGCTTAAATGCGAGAAGGGCTTGTCTTTCGCTCTCTATGCACCTAACTTCATCATCACCAATTGTTGAATTGAATCCAATGGAGGGTTGCATATGCACTAAAATTAGGAGTGCATAGACAAGTTGAAGAGACCCTCCACCCAGAATCTTCATTTTGAAAGTGATGAGAATAAAATCAAAGATGAAGGCGAACCAGAATGAAGAGTGTGCTAGGGAAATATGGTAAACAAGTAATTGAGGTGCGTCAGAAATTAGATGGTAAGAGCAGGTATTTTGCTAGCTGCATTTTGGACCCTGCGGTTGCATAGAAATGAATAATATTCAGAAATGGAGTATGGGGTGAAAGCAGTAAAAAGTTGATGTGTTTGATGGGCTCTCAAAACCATTCCAGCTACTTATATATAACTTCAACAAACCACATTTAAGGTTGTAGAAGGGCACATCAAAGATTAATATTAATTTACTGTGGATATAAGGAGAAGATTAAAGGAAGTTACCAGTAGGAAACATGATTTGTGTGAATTGATTATTATGAAATCTTGGGTAAATTATTTGAACTATGATTCAAACGCAGCCTAAAATTTTAAGTTTTTATTTTTATTTTTATTTTTCAAATTAAAGGTCCTGAAAGGTGACATTAAAGAAACAAAAGGAAAAAAACATTAGTAATTTATTGTAGAGAGAAGAAAGATTTCAAATTTAACAAATTAAAAAGAAAAAGAAAAAAACAACTTAAAAAGCGTGCTTGACCAGCTAGCCGAATTCAACCGTAAGAAAACAAATAAAAAACTGAGCATGTGGAATACGCTCAAGTTAAAGAAATAAAGATAGATTGACTCGTTGACTTAATTACCAGTCGGTTTAATCTCTCTTAAAAACAGAAGTGTTAATTAATCAACTATGCAAACCTTATTTCCTGGAAGCATCCTGTAAAAGTTATTGAAAACATGCATCAGGCAAAGGAAGACTTACCTTTGATTATAAGCAGACCAAGTTCTTTAAATCAGAAATAAATTAAGAAAAAATCATTTGTGTGATATCTCTATCTAATTTACTTTTATTTTTATAATTTACTTAATGAATAATTTTTCTATCAACTAAACTGTTGACTAGAATGAGAGTATCAAACTTGCAATTTAAATTTCAGTCTCATTTCTATTGCAGTTTTTTTTCTTTCCTTACAAACTAGATTGAATGGTGCAATAAAACATGTAAGACACAAAATGATACAATAAAACAAACATAGAGCAATATTTATTGCAAGCAAAGAGGAAATAAAAAGGTAGTCTTGTGGACAGGAGCGGCTAAGAAGAAGAAAGCCTGAAATTTCACTTTTTTTCTCTTTTTTAATCAGATAAAAGGAGAAAATTGAAAATTAAAATTGCTTTAGAAATTGTTTAAATATTTAATTTTTTTAGTGTATTAATTTATTAAGAGTATTTAAATTTTTTTATTACTATTCTTAATATTTTAATCATAAGAAAAAACTAATTTTTCTAACAATCTCTTATAAAAGAAACTTATCTTAAAATTTCATTTCTGTATTCTTGCATTCTGAAGAAGCATTTTGAAGCTGAAAAACAAGAAGCAGAGGCGACTTGTCTGCTATTTTCAATGAAATACGTAGTGCAATTGCAGAAGAAGACAAAGTTACAAATAAGCTTAAAACAACCATCTCCCTTAGGTTCCAGGGAAAAAGTGATGGCACCTAAAACTTGAATGCTCTTTGCTATCTAGCAGCCTTCATTGTTACCAACAAACAAAGCGCTGCCATAATCAAACAGAGGTAGGCCTTCAGGTTACTGAGGCATATCTTAACATAGTTGAAAAGAGTCTTGGGAGCACACAAGTGAGAGAATACGAACACATATGAGAAGATGACATATTAAACCCACAATACATACCTATTAGATTTATGGGCCTCCACATATATTCTACTATCACATTGTTTCTTATCGATGTAGGATCTCCTCTCCTGTGAACATGTGAGTCTCTCTCTTGTCAGTGTAATCACTTTGGACTTTAGACCTTGCCATGGACTTTCTCTACTAAATCCATTCTTAAACACTTGATCACACCAAGATCAAACCATCAACCTTGATACCACTTGTTGGGAGAGTTTAACGAATCAGTTCAAGAGCACACACATGAAATAACATAAACACATATAAGAAGACGCTATATTGAACTCAAAAAGTATACTTATCAGGTTCATGAGCCTCTACATAGATATTCTACTAACACATTGTTTCTCATCAATGTGAGATCTTTGCATATCACTCAACTCAACTCCACTCACTTATTCAAACACTTCAACACTAACTTTAAAACCATAACTCCCGGAAAACCAAGGCATTCCAAAGTTCCATGCCGGCTTTAAATCCTTTCCAAACTTCATCTTCATTGTCTTGATTATATTGGACGCCACCATATGTAGACTGTAGGTCTTCATCCATGTTAGCAAAACAGACATAGAAAAGAAAAAATTCAAAAGAATTTAGATAAACTATTTACATAACTATTTCTTACATCAGCGTTATACTCTTTAATATTTTCGGACTCTTCTCAAAAATAAATTACACTAACTTAACTGCTTAATTGAGAAATGAAAAAAAAAAGGGGGAGAAAAAGAACCGCAATTTTAAAATGCCACTTGA